CCCTAGTCGGGAGCTCCCGACTAGAACCGCGTACTTGTTTCGAGTTCAATTTGATGAAATCCTGACATTAAGTCAAGGCATTAAAAATATGTTGCTCATCCGAGTTGATCTAGAATATAAACAATTCTAGGTAGTGGAAATTTCTCGGACATTAATTTTTTATTAATTTGATGATAGTCAATTACTAATCGCCATTTCTTTTCTTCTGAACCTGGAGATGGTTTTTTAGGGACAAGTAATAATGGGCTATTATATTCAGATACGGATGGTTTAACAATCCCGACGGTAATCAATTTTCCAACTTGCTTCTGTATTTCGTTTACCTGACTGTGTGGGCTTCTGTAGTTTTTTGTATACACTAGTTCATTATCTTTTAATCTCAGGTTTTGTTTATAAAAATTATTTGTGCTTATTGGTTCTGTCTCCAATCCGAATATATTATTATATTTGGTGCATAAGCTTCAATTGTGGTAAAAAGTTTTTTGAAAGTTGAGATAATACAGACTTTTCCCAATCTTCTGTATTAGTTTTGACTACTTCGTAGTTTGAAAGTGATTCCTACGTTAAGTTGTTGTCTTATGAACGCGTTTTCAGTTGTTGCTTTTATACTTGCTATGTAAATACCATGTTTAATTTCTTGATTTGGAATTAATACACTGTCCTCTTTTGAATTTTTCTAATAACTTGGGATCTTGCTGGCAGAAGTATTGAGTTGTTGCCAGAACTGTATGTTATCGGAACATAAATTGGAAACTTTAAGTTATTAGGTCTAATTATAAGCCAATCTTCAGATTGCTTGAAGTCTAATTGACAGTTATATTTTTTAGTAAAATCGATTCCTATTATGCCATCACAAGGAATAGCGAATTGTAAGTCCACGATATGAAAATCATGTGGGATTATATACTTAGTGGTCTGTATCTCAATAGAGGTTAATCCTTTGGCCTTGATAACCTTTTCACTTATTCCTTTTATGTCTATAATGTAATTATCTTGTGTGTCTTGAAAGACATCAGAATTTTCTTAAACTATTTAAATGTCTGCACCTGTGTCTACTAAAAAGACAAGTTCTTTTCCTGTGGCCACATGATTGAATGATACGAATATGTTCTGACTGAGATTAATAGTGGGAACCCTTGCATCTTCTACTGTTGAGCATTTAAAGGATTTTGTGAGTTTTCCGATGTATTCTTGACTACTCGGACTCTATATGAGCTATTGCTGTTGTGGCCTCGATTCGAATTGCCCCGGCCTCTTGAGTCTCCTCTATATTGGCCTCGTCCATTGTTATAATAGGTACTAAAGTAGTTGTTACGACTACGAAAATTACCTCTATAATTTCCTCGTCCGCGGTTTCCGCCGCACTGTGAATAATTGTTGTAATATAGGAAAGTGTTCGGCTGTCCAGTTGCTTCTGTGCAACTATTTACAAATTTGGATATGGCATCATTTATTGTATTGAAGGTACCAGCTTGCATGATAAGATTTACCGTTTCAACCGTGCAATTCTTATTCATTGCTTTGACTGCATGCTGAGTGGAATAACTTCTGGCTAACTCTAGAGGTGAACCGTCTGAAATTTTAGATGTAGATGCTCCTAGTTCCCGCGCAGATCGAGTTTGTTTCCGATAATCGATAACTTACTCCTTACTCCTTACTTTTTTTTAGCAAATTGGATAAATAATAAGAGCTAGAGCCACCAAACATGATATGTTGCTTCTAGAATATTATAGATATTTCAAGTATCTTTCATTTCATACCTATCGCCACCTCCCCGCTACCACCGCAGAGCTATAAATCAAGTTAATAACCCAACTTTTATTGCCAACCAATTTAAACCACAATTTAAATGCAATTGATTTTTTCAGAATACACAAATATTCTATGGTACGATAAGATATACTGTAGAAAATTTCATAAAGATCGGTTGAGAAAAACCAAAGTTATATGCACCTGCGTAATTGAATGGGCAGTAGCTTTAAGAATATACATGTACATATACATGTACACACACACATTCATGCGCGTCTGCTTCGATTTCTAATAGTATGGTAATTGCATCTTTTTTTTTGTAATGTTATTTTAGTTCCTTTTTTATCATAAGTAGCCAATTGTTGGTGTGGCTGCTGAATAGAGGCATAGCAAGTGGTGCGGTCTGTCGCGAGTTCGAGCCCTACCGGGGTATATTGTATTTGTGCAAAATCCAAATGTATGTAACAGGAAGATGGAAGCATCTCCGACCCCATAAAGTATATATATTCTTGATCAGCATCAATAGCCGAGTCGATCTAGCCATGTTCAATGCTCGCTTCAGATCCTCAATGGTCCTTGAAGAGATAGGCTGCACGACAGCGAATTTTGAAGATTCGCTTGTCGATGCAAGTAAGAAAAAATGTTTTGTCAGTCGAGATATCTATGTGTAGCATCTCTCCAACATGCGACGACGGGATTAATATTTCACCCAACTCTTGTTTTCTAGTTTGTCTATCGTATTTGGCCTTATCGCACGTTTTGGAGTTTTGCACAATTTCGTTAGCTTGGCCATTTCGGGAAGTAGTATTCGGAGAGAATCTGTTCCAAGTTCTCTTGAGCAGACCTGTGTGCCCTATTGTGCTCAGTTGTGAGGATTTCTCTTCTTTCCCCAACCCCGAATATGTCAACCACACGATTCTTGCAGTGCCAGAATTTTGTACCTGGAAATTTTCGAACCACTTCGTCGTGTATTATCGCGAGAGTGTGCAAGTCGCAGTGAAAAGCGTTTACACCTCTTGGTATGATTAGGAAGGAAGCATCTCCGACCCCATAAAGTATATATATTCTTGATCAGCATCAATAGCCGAGTCGATCTAGCCATGTCCGTCTGTCTGTCCGCCCGTCCGTCCGTATGTATGAGCTCAAGGATCTCAGAACCTATAAGAGCTAGAGACTTGAAATTGAGATGTAGATGCTCCTAGTTCCCGCGCAGATCGAGTTTGTTTCCGATAATCGATAACTTACTCCGTTTCCATGCAATCGATAAAAATCGATATCGACATCCTGTTTTTTTAGCAAATTGGGTAAATAATAAGAGCTAGAGCCACCAAACATGATATGTTGCTTCTAGAATATTATAGGTATTTCAAGTATCTTTCACTTCATACCTATCGCCACCTCCCCGCTACCACCCCACAGCTATAAATCAAGTTAATAACCCAACTTTTATTGCCAACCAATTTAAACCACAATTTATATGCAATTGATTTTTTCAGAATATACAAATATTTTATGGTACAATAAGATATACTGTAGAAAATTTCATAAAGATCGGTTAAGGAAAACCAAAGTTATATGTAACTGCGCAATTGTATGGGGCAGCAGCTTAAGGAATTTCTGTATACATGTACACACACACATTCACGCGCGTCTGCTTCGCATTCTAATAGCATGGTAATTGCATCTTTTATTTGTAATGTTATTTTAGTTCCTTTTTTTATCATAAGTAATTAATTGTTGGTGTGGCTGCTGAGTAGAGGCATAGCAAGTGGTGCGGTCTGTCGCGAGTTCGAGCCCTACCGGGGAAAGTATTATTCGAGCCCTTCCAAGGGAGCTTTTTTTTATTAATTTATTTGGTATTGGAATAAGAGGGCTCAGGGTATCCCCTAGTCGCGAGCTCCCGACTAGAACCTTTTACTTGTTTTTTTTTGCTGGTGTGGCTGTTGAGTAGAGTCGACAGTAAGTAATGCGGTCAGATGGAAATTCGAGCCCTGCCAAGGGAACTTTTTTTTATTAATTTATTTGGTGTTGGAATAAGAGGGTTCAGGGTATTCCCTAGTCGGGAGCTTTCGACTAGAACCTCTTACTTGTTTTAAATTTAAATCTTGTCCAGATCATTTGCTGGCTCATATACTTCTTTTTTAAGCATTTTTTATGCAACTTGTATAATTTATAAAAACAATCGGCGCACATTATAACAACAATTATTATCAATAGTATATTTACTAATTGTAAATCCATGTTACTTGACTTTACTTTATTAATGACATAAGCAATGGAATCCACTGTCTTTAAGTCTAAAATGGGACCATTTTGGGTTCATATATAATTAAATTATAATTATAACTATTAGGCAAATTTTTATCAAATTTGCTTATTGAATTATTTTGCATTTATGCTTACAGTTTTCCTGCCAATAGGTAGGTTTAGTTTCGTATTGCTTTACGGGCTATACTTCCAATTGAGCGGAGAAGGTTCCGCACAATTTTACAATTTTTGTGTAATATATATAATGTTTTAATTGTAATCATTTTAATTTCTGTTCCGGATCCTCGGATGTAATAATGCCTCGGATGTCCTCCGCGTCAGCTGGTCATGTTCCGGCATTCGGCTTTCTTAGGGTTTCATTCAGAAAATCATCTCTTAGCTTTTGTGTCGTTGCCCATGTTGGCGGCGTTTTTGTATATAAAAGCCACTTTATGTGTGCTATTCTTTTAGTGATCTTGTTCTTTTGGCCTCCGCGCTTGCCCATTACACGCACTCTACTCACTCACACTTTAAAAATTTGATTTCCGTTTTCCGTTTCCATCCCGGTGCCGTGCCGTGCCCGTTGATGTCCCCCTTGTTGTTCTTCGACTGGGTTTCCTCCTTGTAGTTTTTGCAGCTTAGTTCAGGTAACCACTGCACGGTCGCCATGTAATAACCATCGCATCAAATAATAGCCACCTCATTAGGTCTTGCTCGGTTGAGCGTCTTTTCTTTATTCAATCCATAGTTTTCTTAGCTTAAAGCTGCCTGCTGTCGACGCAGCGGCAGAGCAGCCGTTATATATATATTCTATATGTATAGTGACAATTTGTATAGCGGGCAGAAAGTGTTATGCATGTACATGTGCATATAAGCGGTCAGCGTGGGAACCATGCTGACTCGGCTTTATTTATGTTATATATATTGTATGCATATGTGTATAAATTAAGTGTCTTTTGAGTGTATTGACATTCATTTGTTGCCCGTTAGGCAATTATGTTTTACGGCTTGGTGCCGGAGTACCGACGTGTTGAACTAACGACGTTTATTTCAGAACTAAAAACATGCGATACAATTCTTAGGGCTTAAAGCTAACAGAATATGATTCTTAAATTATTTCTTCGTTTATAGCGGCCACGCAAATATGCTGTGTCTGCCGGCTGTGCAACGACATCCGGCCCAATGCTCATTCAGCAATTGTGGTCGGAGTCATATTTTGGCCAACCGTTCGTTGACTCCGCTTAACTACTCCCCCTTTTTCTGCGATCACTTCTCTTAACTGTATCGCAGACTTTCTGGCGCTGGTGATTCGCCAAAACGCAAGACCGATGCCGATGAGCAAAGCAAGCAAATTTAATTTTCGGAAATTTAATAATAACATCCTTTATTATGTTAACAGACTGTAAAACTTTCACGGACGCAACGGACATAAGATCCCCTATGGGAATGTTAGTGGGTTCCTCCAGCCAAACTGATGCCAAATCTGAATGATCGAGAATGTTTGGGCTAACAATGTTAACATTTGCAAGAGTTATTGCCAGCATTAGATTTTACAACTCCATCATTAACATTGTATTTCTGGCTAGCAATGTCTCATATAAATGGCCAGTATCGGCTTGATTGTCTTTAGTTGTTTTGAGAATTTGATTGACTGTAGAAGTAAATTGATTAATTTGTACCTGGATTCTTGTGTTAATTTCTATTTGCTTATTGTTTGAATTAATTAATTGTGCCTCAATGAACCTTCAACATGGAACCTAAGAAGTCTAAGCTCCTGGCCACTCTGTGGTGCGCGCCCAACGCCTCTAGTAAATCTCGGAGGTGATCTGCATCCACGCTCAGAAGCATTTTCATATGCGACTGTGGGAACAAGTCATTCAATTTGACCGTTTCTTCTACCACACGCATGTATTCTGAATGCTTAACGTGGGCGTATTCTTCCCACACTAGGACAGGGCCATTTACAAAGGGGATGTATTTGGACTGAGAGTAGTCCGTGATGCGTGCCGAAGTCAAGGACAGGAAGAAGAGAAGGACAAATCCAAACCTGTGGAGTGAAGTTTTCGTTTTTAGCTATTTTTAGTTTGTGAAGCCATATCCCACCATCAAAAAGCGACTTTATATAAAATGTAATGAAACTTATACTAAATAAGAATTGCGCCAAGTGGCTTATTAAAGAAGAACAAAAAATGTATGAAAGGACTAATTTGCTGGAATTATTTCAAATTATCTTTGTGGACCATCCTCCCATTAATAAGGACCGTGGACCCCAGGTCCGCTTGTACAGTTCTTTCCTCGCACAATGGCGTGAGTTTATTTCCAAGACTTCGGTTGGACTTGACTAAAACGTTTTCACCAACCTCAAAGACCCTATTCTGCCGGGAGGCATTTTCTTTAGTTCTGAGCGCGATCTGTGCATCTTTGATTTTGCGTTGTATTTCTTGTTGAGGCTCATCCGGCTGTGCTTGAACAACGTCAACTGGTCTTTTATTAATGACCGAGTGGACTGACTTTTTGTACTCAGCAGCTGCCAGTAAAATGACCTCAACGGTGTCGCTTATGTTCTTGTCGATTTTTAAACATCTGGCAAGCTCTAACAACGTGCTATGAAAGCGCTCTACTTGTCCATTCGACACACTATGAAAGGTTGCCGCGTTTGACATACTCACTCCAAAATTATTGTACAGCATGATTGAAATCGTCTGTGAATTCAATGCTGGTTCATTGTCACAGTATATCGATTTTGCTTTTGGAAAAAAGTTCATGAGCTGAAGCAATGCTCTCTTCAGATCCTCAATGGTCCTTGAAGAGATAGGCTGTACGACAGCGAATTTTGAAAACTTGTCGATGCAAGGAAGAAAAAATTGTTTGTCAGTCGAGATGTCTATGTGTAGCATCTCTCCAACATGCGACGGGATTGGTGTTTCACCCAACTCTTGTTTTCTAGTTTGTCTATCGTATTTGGCCTTATCGCACGTTTTGTAGTTTTGCACAATTTCGTTCGCTAGCTTGGCCATTTCGGGAAGTAGTATTCGGAGAGAACCTGTTGCCCTGTGTGCCCTATTGTGCTCAGCTGTGAGGATTTCTCTTCTTTCCCCAACCCCGAATATGTCAACCACACGATTCTTGGAGTGCCAGAATTTTGTACCTGGAAATTTTCGAACCACTTCGTCTTGTATTATCGCGAGAGTGTGCAAGTCGCAGTGAAAAGCGTTTACACCTCTTGGTATGATTATGTCTCCCAGCTCATCTAATAAAGACTCCTTGCATGTAAAGTTTATCGATTGTCGCCTCTTGTTCCCAAACAGTATAAAACTGCGCTTCAAAGGAAAGCGCGCCTCCTCCAATACTATCTAATCTTGAATGCAATTCAGAGGCTTATCTGTTGTTTCAATGGTGTGAGTCAAAGAAACTTCACTGTGGATCGCTGCCGCACAAGACTCGATTTCTTGTCCTTCTACAACATTGAGTTGTTGTCTGGACAAAGCGTCTGCAAGCAGGTTTTCTTTGCCTTTCCATCGCTTAATCTTCGCATTAGGGTTTGACTCCGATACTGCGAAGGTTAACGGCTGGTGATCAGTGAAAATATTTATGTCCTTGACCCCATACAGATAATGTCGCAACTTGGCAAGCGCCCATATAATAGCCAACAGCTCCCTCTCGTTGGTAGCATTTTTGACTTCTCTGTCTTTCAAGGTTCGTAAAATCATTGTAAAAGTAAATGTAAAGAAATCATTGTAACGCCCCTCTTGGGATAGAACTGCGCCTATGCCATAGCCGAAGCATCGGTTTTTAAATCAAATGCTTTTTTATAGTCGAGATACCTCAGCATGACATTTTCTGATGCCAAAATATAACATAGCTTTTGAAACGCACGTTGTTGCGTTTCGGAGAACTGCACCTGAGCGTTCCGCGATCTTTGCTTACTGTTTAATTTTTCCCTTTTAGAATTTCCGAAATAGGCCTTGCTATTGCTGCGAAATCTTTTATATGAAACATCTATAATAACTTGCGAGACCCAGAAATGACCTGACTTCGAATACCGTTTTCGGCTCTGGGAAGTCCTGTATGGCTTTCACCTTTTCTGGGTCTGTTGTCGCGCCGTTGCAAGTGACTATAAACCCAAGGAAACTCACACTTTTCTTAAAGACGCGTGATTTTTCTACTGACACCCTCACATTTGCCTCATATAAGCTCTTCAGGACCCAGTCTACGTGTTTGACATATTCTAATATGTTCGATAGTTAACGACGAGAACGTTTTGGTAAGGAGCGTCTGCTCCGTTGTCTTGCTTTATTTAAAATGCTTCTTATATATTTGTGATGGGTTCAGCTAACCCGAAACGTGCAATGCTTATATCTATGTCTTATATTTATGTGTAAGTATATTGGTGTATACATGTGTATGCAGAAGGCATACATATTTTGTGAATATCTTGTCCACTTGGGCTGCAAAGTGCATGCTCAGCATTCCCACGCGCTACGATCGGCATGTATATAAGTGGTGGATCGTATGACATATGCGCTAGTGTGTTTATATGTTTAAGTGTGGTCTTTTGGGTATTTGTATATTTATGATTATTATTACTGAGTGTCACAATGTATGTATTTACTGTTATACCCTTTGATTTGTATTACTGGCAGGGTAGGTATACTACACCTACCTTTTTAAAGACTTTACTCAATATATGTAGTCATTTAGAGAGTGTTAAAGTCGGTAAAAAATGTTGAAATTAATAGTAATAATAATTTTTAATTTTTTTTTGTGTTATTTTTTTGTGTATCTTATTTTATAAGTGTTATAAGTGTGTAAAATATATTAGTTGTATTAAAATGTGTTATCTCTCTTTTCTTTTTTTTTTAATATTTGTGTTCATTGATACAATTTTTTTTTTATTTGAATATATTTGATTTACCTTAACTCCATTCAACTTTATATTTTTCATTCGACTTTCCTAGAAGAATTTAAATTTCCTTTATTTTATTCCCATTTGTTTTTCATTATGCTTATAATTCATTATGCTAAACATTTTTTTTTGTTTTAGGTTGATCAGATCCTTTTTTTCATGAAACGTTTCATTGATTATATATTTGTAACCTATCCTTATGTTCTATTTGTTTCTTATTCTTACTATCTTTAATGTAAATGTTATCATTATCTTCTATTTTTTCTACTATATATGGTCCTAAATATACTGGGTCTAATTTGTGGCCTGTTTCATTTCTTTTAAGTACTTTATCTCCTATTTTTAATTCAAAATTTTTTGTTTTTTTTATCGTATGCTAATTTCCTATAAGCCTTGGCTTTTTCTAACATAATTCCAGCTCTTTTATATGCTATTTCTAATCGAAACTTTATTTCCTTAGAGTAGTCATCTAGATTATAAATAGGATCTATGTAAATAGTTTTATTTAAATCTATGAACTATTTAGTAGTCGGCCAAATACTAGTTCGTATGGACAATACTCATGCGTTGCTGATGGTGTTGAAGTGTTGAAGCAATATGTGAAATATTGAATCCAGACATCCCAGTCAGTTTTGTCTGCAAAGATGTATGAACGAATGTATTCATTAAATGTTCGATGACTTCGTTCGATTCTCCCTAATGTTTGATGATAATATGCAGTAGAGGTGAGATTCTTGGTCTTCATTTACTTGCATAAATCAGTTAAAATCTGGTTTTTTCTGTTCCCATGTCCGAGATGAACGTCTTAATTGGACCAAACTTGAGTATTACATTTTCGAATATAGTTTTTGCGACAATATTTGCGCGTTTGCTTTTTATTGGAATGGCTACTAAATATTTTGTAAGGTGGCATATTAATGTAACTATGTATTCATTGCCATTTTCCGATTTAGGTAGCGGACCAACTGTATCCACTATCACTATATCGAAAGCAGTCACAGGTGTTTCTGTGAGAGTCAAAGGAGTTTATGTGTGCGTCTTTGTTTAAGACATTTGTCATTTTTGACATCTACGTACGTACTCTTTTATATGACGTGTCATATTTTACCAGTAGTAGTGTCTTTTTATTTTCGCTAGCGTTCTTCTTATTCCGCTATGACCTCCTTGAGGTCGTAATAGGGGGTCGTCATGGTATGTAGACAATATTTGTTGTATCTCTTTATCATCTGTTATTTGGGTCACCAGCTAGAGTAGCGCTACTCTTAAAGATTTGAATATTTCATTGCCCATATTTTTAAAACAATCTATTGAAACTGATTCAAAGATCTTTTCGCTCGGCGGCACTTTGAGTTGGCTGATTTTTAATATACCGGTCTCTTTTTCGAGCCTTTGGAAGAACTAGCCTAGGTCGAGAATTCCATTGGTATATAAATCGCTAACTTTAATTCTTGCGATAATTTTATTTCCATGTTTAAATAAACATTTAGATTCTGTTATGCGCAAGGTCACTACTTTTCGTACTTCATCATTTGTGATGACTTCATGTACGTTGGGCTTGGATACATTTTTATGACTTTGCCTTGGCAGAAGTTCATAATTTTCTACTATACAGTTTTTATTTTGTTTACTTTGTCGCCTGGTAGTGACATTCAGGACTTTATGTTGCATATCTTTGAGTTCTTTTATATTAATACGCGAAAGTGCATCTGCTACAAAATAATCTTTCCCCTTTAGGTATTCTACTGTGAAGTCGTATTCTTCAAGCTCTAGCCGCATGCGAATTAATTTCGAGCTGGGATTAGTCATAGAAAAAAGATATGTCAATGGTCTGTGTTCTGTTTTAATACTAAACTGCTTGCCATAAATATATGGTCTAAAATGGGTAATTGTCCAATGAATTGCCGCTAACTCTTGTTCTGTTGTGCTCTTATTGCTTTCCCCTTTTGTAAATGAACGAGATGCATAAGCTATTGGGAGCTGAATTCCGTCACGGTTCTGAGTTAGAACCGCTCCGCAGGCTTGTTTACTAGCACCTGTTATAATGCAAAATTCTTTGCGAATATCAGGATATTGTAATAATGTAGGATGCATAAGCTTTTCTTTAAGGTATTGGAATGCGTTTTGGCATTCACTTGACCATTCAAAAGGAACATTCTTTTTACATAATCTAGTTATGTGCCGTGAATAATCGGCGAAGTTTCTTATAAATCGACGATAATAATTGCAGAATGCTACAAATCGTCTCGCGCTATCCGCATCATGAGGGACAGGATAATTTTTGATGACATCAAATTTCTTGTCATCTGGCAATACTCCTTTGTCAGTGCATTTGTGACCTAAAAATGTACTTCATGCATGAAAAACGAACATTTTTCTGGATGCAACATTAGGTTATATTATCTACATACATTAAAAACATCAGTTAAGTTTTTAATCATGATCACCATTAAATCATCCACATAAAGGAATGCCTGAAAGGGTTCTAAACCCGAGAATGCTATTGTCATCATTCTCTGAAATGAATTTGGTGCTATTTTAAGACCAAATGGTAATCGCGTGAAGCGATATGAGGCATTGCTCGTTGAAAAAGATGTTATATTTCTTGAATTTTCTTCAAGTTCAATTTGGTGAAAACCTGACATTAAGTTAAGGCATGAAAAGTATTTAGCTCTGCCCCGTTGGTCTAGAATATCATCAATTCTGGGGAGTGGGAATTTGTCAGAAAGTAATTTTTTGTTGATTTGGCGATAGTCAATTACTAATCGCCATTTCTTTTCCTCCGAATGTGGTAATAATTTTTTCGGAACTAGCAAGAGTGGGCTGTTATACTCGGATACAGATGGTTCTACGATTTTGTCGTTTATTAATTTCCCTACTTGTTTTTGGATTTCCTCAACTTGACTATGCGGGCTTCTGTAGTTTTTGATATAAATGGGCTCATCATCTTTAAGTTTTAATGTTTGTTTATAAAAATGATCTGTCGCTATTGGTTCGGTTCCCAGTCCGAACACATCATTATACTTGGTGCATAATTCTGTTAATTGATTTCTGAATTGTTCTGGAAAATTTTTCTTTAACTTTGAAAGTACTTGTTAGCTTCTATTTTCTGGATTAGTGTTCATATTCGATTTTGTTTACTTTGACCAATTGGTCGAAATTAGTTGTGCTTAGAAGGCGAATGTATACATGTTTGGATGCTGCTATTGTATTTGCAACATAAATTCCATTATGTATTTCTTGATTTGGAACAAATATATAATCGTTTACTGAATTAATGTCTATTTTTCGAATTAGTTGGGATCTGGCTGGCAGAAGAAATGCATTGTTGCATTGGAACATAAATAGGATAATTTAAGTTTTGAGGTTTAATTATAAACCAGTCTTTACTTGGTTTGAAGTCTAATTGGCTATTGAATTTTTTAATAAAATTAATGCCTATTATTCCATCACACGGTATTCAAAAATCGGAGTCTACTAAATGAAATTCGTGTGGATTAATATATTTTGTTGGTTGAAGTTCTATTGAAGTTGTTCCTTGCGATTTTATTACACCCTGGTCGATGCCTTGGATGTTTATAATTTTGTCTTCTTGAATTTTGAAATTATCTGAATTTATTTTTAAAAGTGAGATATCTGTACCAGTATCTATTAGGAATGTGTGTTTATTTTCAGTTGAATGATTATAAAGAGTGACAAATATATTAAGACTGTAATTGATGCAATGAACCTTTGCATTTACAGATTGTTTCCTAAAGGGTGCTGAGAGTTTTCCGACGCATTTTGCGCCACTCTCACATTGTTATAATTGTTACCTTGGTTGGAGTTCCCGCGGCCTCTTCCCCGATTTTGGCCTCGTCTTCCTGCACGGTTATTGTAATTATTGTTGTTGTTGTTGTTATTACCGCCGCAGTTGCAATTGTTGTGGTTGTAATTTTTGCCACGATTATAACTTCGGCCTCGTCTATTATTTTGATTTACACCTCGTCGATAATACAGGACAGTGTTACTTTGACCTGTTACCTCCGTGCAACTATTGACAAATTTGGAGACGGCATCATTCATATTTGTGAATGTGCCTGCCTGCATGATAAGTTTTACCTTATCAATCGAACAATTTTGGGTCATAGGTTTTACGGCTCTTGTAGTGTTTGCAAGTGATTGGCTTAGACCTTCACTGATATAGACTCCTTCAAGGGACTTTTTTTTCAATTTTAAGCCTATTGGGTATATTGATTGGCCGTTTTGCTCTTTTGTTGTAAGTTTAGAAGTTTAGCAGAAATAACTTCTACTGACTCTCCTTTTAATTTGTCCGATAGTTTCGATATGAGAGCTGTAATAGTGTTCTCATCTCTTATCAGGTTCCTGGCATGGCCTTTTAGTTTTGTCTTAATAAGACTTACAGCAAGTGCTTCGTGTGTTTCTTTTAGAGAATCTACCAGATTCAGAGCATCTATGAAGCTTTTTAAATTTTCTTTTCTTTTTAAATTTTTTGTCATTTTTGACATCTACGTACGTACTCTTTTATATGACGTGTCATTTTTTACCAGTAGTAGTGTCTTTTTATTTTCGCTAGCGTTCTTGTTAATCCGCTATGACCTCCTTGAGGTCGTAATAGGGGGTCGTCATGGTATGTAGACAATATTTGTTGTATCTCTTTATCATCTGTTATTTGGGTCACCAGCTGGAGTAGCGCTACTCTTAAAGATTTGAATATTTCATTGCCCATATTTTTAAAACAATCTATTGAAACTGATTCAAAGATCTTCTCGCTCGGCGGCACTTTGAGTTGGCTGATTTTTAATATACCGGTCTCTTTTTCGAGCCTTTGGAAGAACTAGCCTAGGTCGAGAATTCCATTGGTATATAAATCGCTAACTTTAATTCTTGCGATAATTTTATTTCCATGTTTAGATAAACATTTAGATTCTGTTATGCGCAAGGTCACTACTTTTCGTACTTCATCATTTGTGATGACTTCATGTACGTTGGGCTTGGATACATTTTTATGACTTTGCCTTGGCAGAAGTTCATAATTTTCTACTATACAGTTTTTATTTTGTTTACTTTGTCGCCTGGTAGTGACATTCAGGACTTTATGTTGCATATCTTTGAGTTCTTTTATATTAATACGCGAAAGTGCATCTGCTACAAAATAATCTTTCCCCTTTAGGTATTCTACTGTGAAGTCGTATTCTTCAAGCTCTAGCCGCATGCGAATTAATTTCGAGCTGGGATTAGTCATAGAAAAAAGATATGTCAATGGTCTGTGTTCTGTTTTAATAGTAAACTGCTTGCCATAAATATATGGTCTAAAATGGGTAATTGCCCAATGAATTGCCGCTAACTCTTGTTCTGTTGTGCTCTTATTGCTTTCCCCTTTTGTAAATGAACGAGATGCATAAGCTATTGGGAGCTGAATTCCGTCACGGTTCTGAGTTAGAACCGCTCCGCAGGCTTGTTTACTAGCACCTGTTATAATGCAAAATTCTTTGCGAATATCAGGATATTGTAATAATGTAGGATGCATAAGCTTTTCTTTAAGGTATTGGAATGCGTTTTGGCATTCACTTGACCATTCAAAAGGAACATTCTTTTTACATAATCTAGTTATGTGCCGTGAATAATCGGCGAAGTTTCTTATAAATCGACGATAATAATTGCAGAATGCTACAAATCGTCTCGCGCTATCCGCATCATGAGGGACAGGATAATTTTTGATGACATCAAATTTCTTGTCATCTGGCAATACTCCTTTGTCAGTGCATTTGTGACCTAAAAATGTACTTCATGCATGAAAAATGAACATTTTTCTGGATGCAACATTAGGTTATATTATCTACATACATTAAAAACATCAGTTAAGTTTTTAATCATGATCACCATTAAATCATCCACATAAAGGAATGCCTGAAAGGGTTCCAAACCCGAGAATGCTATTGTCATCATTCTCTGAAATGAATTTGGTGCTATTTTAAGACCAAATGGTAATCGCGTGAAGCGATATGAGGCATTGCTCGTTGAAAAAGATGTTATATTTCTTGAATTTTCTTCAAGTTCAATTTGGTGAAAACCTGACATTAAGTTAAGGCATGAAAAGTATTTAGCTCTGCCCCGTTGGTCTAGAATATCATCAATTCTGGGGAGTGGGAATTTGTCAGAAAGTAATTTTTTGTTGATTTGGCGATAGTCAATTACTAATCGCCATTTCTTTTCCTCCGAATGTGGTAATAATTTTTTCGGAACTAGCAAGAGTGGGCTGTTATACTCGGATACAGATGGTTCTACGATTTTGTCGTTTATTAATTTCCCTACTTGTTTTTGGATTTCCTCAACTTGACTATGCGGGCTTCTGTAGTTTTTGATATAAATGGGCTCATCATCTTTAAGTTTTAATGTTTGTTTATAAAAATGATCTGTCGCTATTGGTTCGGTTCCCAGTCCGAACACATCATTATACTTGGTGCATAATTCTGTTAATTGATTTCTGAATTGTTCTGGAAAATTTTTCTTTAACTTTGAAAGTACTTGTTAGCTTCTATTTTCTGGATTAGTGTTCATATTCGATTTTGTTTACTTTGACCAATTGGTCGAAATTAGTTGTGCTTAGAAGGCGAATGTATACATGTTTGGATGCTGCTATTGTATTTGCAACATAAATTCCATTATGTATTTCTTGATTTGGAACAAATATATAATCGTTTACTGAATTAATGTCTATTTTTCGAATTAGTTGGGATCTGGCTGGCAGAAGAAATGCATTGTTGCATTGGAACATAAATAGGATAATTTAAGTTTTGAGGTTTAATTATAAACCAGTCTTCACTTGGTTTGAAGTCTAATTGGCTATTGAATTTTTTAATAAAATTAATGCCTATTATTCCATCACACGGTATTAAAAAATCGGAGTCTACTAAATGAAATTCGTGTGGATTAATATATTTTGTTGGTTGAAGTTCTATTGAAGTTGTTCCTTGCGATTTTATTACACCCTGGTCGATGCCTTGGATGTTTATAATTTTGTCTTCTTGAATTTTGAAATTATCTGAATTTATTTTTAAAAGTGAGATATCTGTACCAGTATCTATTAGGAATGTGTGTTTATTTTCAGTTGAATGATTATAAAGAGTGACAAATATATTAAGACTGTAATTGATGCAATGAACCTTTGCATTTACTGATTGTTTCCTAAAGGGTGCTGAGAGTTTTCCGACGCATTTTGCGCCACTCTCACATTGTTATAATTGTTACCTTGGTTGGAGTTCCCGCGGCCTCTTCCCCGATTTTGGCCTCGTCTTCCTGCACGGTTATTGTAATTATTGTTGTTGTTGTTGTTATTACCGCCGCAGTTGCAATTGTTGTGGTTGTAATTTTTGCCACGATTATAACTTCGGCCTCGTCTATTATTTTGATTTACACCTCGTCGATAATACAGGACAGTGTTACTTTGACCTGTTACCTCCGTGCAACTATTGACAAATTTGGAGACGGCATCATTCATATTTGTGAATGTGCCTGCCTGCATGATAAGTTTTACCTTATCAATCGAACAATTTTGGGTCATAGGTTTTACGGCTCTTGTAGTGTTTGCAAGTGATTGGCTTAGACCTTCACTGATATAGACTCCTTCAAGGGACTTTTTTTTCAATTTTAAGCCTATTGGGTATATTGATTGGCCGTTTTGCTCTTTTGTTGTAAGTTTAGAAGTTTAGCAGAAATAACTTCTACTGACTCTCCTTTTAATTTGTCCGATAGTTTCGATATGAGAGCTGTAATAGTGTTCTCATCTCTTATCAGGTTCCTGGCATGGCCTTTTAGTTTTGTCTTAATAAGACTTACAGCAAGTGCTTCGTGTGTTTCTTTTAGAGAATCTACCAGATTCAGAGCATCTATGAAGCTTTTTAAATTTTCTTTTCTTTTTAAATTTTTTGTCATTTTTGACATCTACGTACGTACTCTTTTATATGACGTGTCATTTTTTACCAGTAGTAGTGTCTTTTTATTTTCGCTAGCGTTCTTGTTAATCCGCTATGACCTCCTTGAGGTCGTAATAGGGGGTCGTCATGGTATGTAGACAATATTTGTTGTATCTCTTTATCATCTGTTATTTGGGTCACCAGCTGGAGTAGCGCTACTCTTAAAGATTTGAATATTTCATTGCCCATATTTTTAAAACAATCTATTGAAACTGATTCAAAGATCTTCTCGCTCGGCGGCACTTTGAGTTGGCTGATTTTTAATATACCGGTCTCTTTTTCGAGCCTTTGGAAGAACTAGCCTAGGTCGAGAATTCCATTGGTATATAAATCGCTAACTTTAATTCTTGCGATAATTTTATTTCCATGTTTAGATAAACATTTAGATTCTGTTATGCGCAAGGTCACTACTTTTCGTACTTCATCATTTGTGATGACTTCATGTACGTTGGGCTTGGATACATTTTTATGACTTTGCCTTGGCAGAAGTTCATAATTTTCTACTATACAGTTTTTATTTTGTTTACTTTGTCGCCTGGTAGTGACATTCAGGACTTTATGTTGCATATCTTTGAGTTCTTTTATATTAATACGCGAAAGTGCATCTGCTACAAAATAATCTTTCCCCTTTAGGTATTCTACTGTGAAGTCGTATTCTTCAAGCTCTAGCCGCATGCGAATTAATTTCGAGCTGGGATTAGTCATAGAAAAAAGATATGTCAATGGTCTGTGTTCTGTTTTAATAGTAAACTGCTTGCCATAAATATATGGTCTAAAATGGGTAATTGCCCAATGAATTGCCGCTAACTCTTGTTCTGTTGTGCTCTTATTGCTTTCCCCTTTTGTAAATGAACGAGATGCATAAGCTATTGGGAGCTGAATTCCGTCACGGTTCTGAGTTAGAACCGCTCCGCAGGCTTGTTTACTAGCACCTGTTATAATGCAAAATTCTTTGCGAATATCAGGATATTGTAATAATGTAGGATGCATAAGCTTTTCTTTAAGGTATTGGAATGCGTTTTGGCATTCACTTGACCATTCAAAAGGAACATTCTTTTTACATAATCTAGTTATGTGCCGTGAATAATCGGCGAAGTTTCTTATAAATCGACGATAATAATTGCAGAATGCTACAAATCGTCTCGCGCTATCCGCATCATGAGGGACAGGATAATTTTTGATGACATCAAATTTCTTGTCATCTGGCAATACTCCTTTGTCAGTGCATTTGTGACCTAAAAATGTACTTCATGCATGAAAAATGAACATTTTTCTGGATGCAACATTAGGTTATATTATCTACATACATTAAAAACATCAGTTAAGTTTTTAATCATGATCACCATTAAATCATCCACATAAAGGAATGCCTGAAAGGGTTCCAAACCCGAGAATGCTATTGTCATCATTCTCTGAAATGAATTTGGTGCTATTTTAAGACCAAATGGTAATCGCGTGAAGCGATATGAGGCATTGCTCGTTGAAAAAGATGTT